ACAAGCCCTGGAAGGCCTATCTGAAGTGGATCAAGGAAACGCCAAACAAAGTGCCGATAGGTGCTGAAGCTGAGGCAATGGGACAGTTTGCCCTTGTTCTCCAATCTCAGCAATACACAAAAGGTATTGCGGACGATGGTAGTGACGACAATAAAGTGGACTTCAGCCCCATTCTCACCAGGAGTCGAGCCCTTCAGTCCGGTTCGTCAATTAGCCCACAGACCCCGGCCACTCCGACCCCTGTGCGTCCCAGTCAAGCAGCACTCGCTAGATCCCCAGGTGGTATGGATATTGACGACTTGGATGAATTTTCTCCATCCACGTCCTCAGTCGACCAACCTTCGCCCATGACTGGCGAGGCGGCAAGACAAGAGAGCAAGATAAAGAGTGAACAAGAAGTGGTCTTCTCTCTTGTCCTACTCAAAAGATCCGTGTGCAATCCTTATGGGCAGGCTACGCGCATATCATGGCATCCCCATCAAGACGTGTTTGTGGCCAAAAACAGGAACGGCGAAAAGACATTCGTTGCCATTGTGGATACAGTCATGCGTGTTCAAGATAGCATGCGTTCCCCGTCATTCGGCGAAACAAAAAAGGTGCTTCGTTACGCTGCTCTTAACGGTGCACCTATCAAAGCACAAGAGGCGTGTCAGATGGCTGCAAAGATTGCCCAACATCCGCCCGAGAACCTTCAAGAGATGCGGGTCAAGAACCTGACAGCAAGGTAAAGACAATCCCCTCGTTCTATCCAATATTTGACATGACCAACATTGCCGAACTTTTAGAGAAACTTGGTTCGCTCAAGACAAAAACGAAGTTTACATTATGGTAGGGACATATAAGGCGGACTACGTCGACTACATTTCCCACCGGCGGGCCAAACTTTCCTTTGCGGAAGTGCAAGAGTATGGCCCCTACACTACCGATAACTGGAGGCTTATGGAAGAGCTAGGAGCTATCATTCTAGCCTATGCTCTTCAACAAGCCGATGCAAAATGATCGCTTGGCGTTGTTTACAGCCCTTGAGAACACGAGGCTTGTCGGCCTTGTGATTAGGCTTGCAGCTTGAAGCTTTACGGCAGTTGCAGTTGGGGATGGCGGGTGATGGTTAGTACTAAGCAACAAGAACGCCACTCGGGGAAATGTTGAGATGTACACTGGCCATTCTTTTGACATAGTGCTACTTGAAGTTACTCTTTAGGCAACTATACACCTCTTTCTCTTCTAACCTTGGTAGGAAAGTTGCTTTACAAGAATAAGGACCTGGTAAACGAGATGGTGAGAAAGCGTTCACTTTGCTTACCTATAAAGCCATGGTTGTCTTCGCCAGAAGCCGAATAAAACCCACTGTTAAATAGAAGAGTATCCAGGAAGTGGTTTTGATTTTTAAGTGTACATCTATCTTGTCATAGAATACCGATGCGTAAAATATAATAGGCAGGAACTTGCCCAGGATATCAGAAAATAAACCGGGGATCGTCAAGTATGACAGTAGGGAGGTGAGAGGCGATCGGTTAAGGGGGCGGGGTGGATTCGGTAACAGCATGATAAACTTGTGCCCAGATTTTCCTTGGCAATAACTGCTCGCAAAAGAGGTTTGACGCGGTCGTAGTCGAAGGCTTCAGAGTCGACAGCTGTGTTGAGACTTGATAGGTGGTTAAACAAATTCTTGCCTGTGAAAAGGAGCAGACGAGACGCTCGAAGGTGTTGCAGTGCTAAAACTAGCACATTTCCATGCAACCCTTCTTTAATTGGTTGGCTTGGGCGTATTTTAGACAAGGTAGAACCGGATGCCCAAGGACTCGCATGTATCCTTTGGTGGTTGGGTACACCCTCTGTCCCAGCAGATATGTTCTACCGTGCGAGGTTGCCATCGTTAAGCTGGGGCGTCAATGGTGAAATATTGGAAGTTATTCCCCGTATAATTTCTTTGGTTGTGGACGAGGATAAGCTGTCTGCAGCCATAGAAAGTCTCAAATACATCGGGTTTCTGAAGGCGACGGAGAACGCTGTGGAGTTGGACCGCGGTGTTGCGAACCTCTTACAAGATCATCTCCAATCTAGAATGTGGCTGCCTAAAGCGGCAAAAATCGTCTTCCATGCGCTTCCCAAGTATCCATTAATGGGAACCCAAAGGTATGCTCTGGGGTGCGTGGCTATTACCTCTCATCTATTGACTCGGCGGTAGCTTTGTACAGCAGTGCAGGATGTTACTACCTCATGCAGCACGGTTATTTCCACACCTGACCGACCAACAACTGGTCATCTTATTGGAACAGATGGATCACATGGAGATGATTGAATCTTGCTTATTCCTATCACATTTCCGGGATAAGTCTTGGAAGGCACAGGCCCTCTCGGTTGCTTCCAAGGCTTTATCTCTCTGCGACGGTGGAACCCAACATCCATTACTTTTAGCCAAAATACAGACAAGAGAGTACTTCCTATCCGTCATGTTCCCGGACGATGAAAAGAAACGAGACCAGGCTGTTTTTCCCATTTGCGATCATCGATCAAATGCATTTGCGGCCGATCTTGCAATAGTGAAGGCAAAAGAAAAAATCCAGATAAATGAGTTAGACTCTGCTCTACGGTGTCTAGATGACTTCAGTCCTTTTACATACGGTGACCCCTCTACTCTAGAAAAATCACGTAATGAGCAGGTTATTTTAATGCGCGCTAGGATATTACGCTTCCAGGGCTATTTT